GGGGCTCTGGAGAGCGTGGACGTGCAGGGGAAGATGGACCACAAGAGCGACCTGGTGTTCCTGGGCGACATGAAGCCGGAGGAGATCAGCTACCGCCTGAAGCACTACTACAAGTTCATCTTCGTGAGGAACCCCATGGAGAGGCTGCTCTCGGCCTACCGGAATAAATTCGGGGAGATCAAGGAGTACCAGCAGAAGTACGGCGTGGAGATCGTCCGGCGGTACCGGAAGAACGGGGGGAACTCGGCCGGCGACGACGTGACCTTCTCCGAGTTCCTGCAGTACCTGCTGGACGAGGACGTGGAGCGCATGAACGAGCACTGGATGCCCATCTACAACCTGTGCCAGCCCTGCGCTGTCAGGTACGACTTCATCGGCTCCTACGAGCGGCTGCACGCCGACGCCAACCACGTGCTGGAGCACATCCAGTCGCCCTCCTTCGTGCGCTTCCCGGAGCGCCAGGCCTGGTACAAGCCCGTGACGGCCGAGACGCTGCACTACTACCTGTGCAACACCCAGCGCCGGCTGATCAGGGAGCTGCTCCCCAAATACATCCTGGACTTCTCCCTCTTCGCCTACCCCCTGCCCAACATCACCAGCGAGTTCTGCAGGCAGTGAGCGGTTCCTGCCGAGAGACGGTGGGAATTCTGCCTTGCCTACAAGGATTTGCTTGCACAGCCCTTGCTGCTGTGTGAAGCATGCTCCTCTATGCATTATTTCCTAATTTTATACTTTGCAAGCACTGTTTATATAAAATACTCTCTACTGCCTTCGCTACTTAGGATCCTTTTTGTACCTCTCTGACTTTCCCGTGTACATACGCCACTGGCTCGAGCACAGTAGCTTTTGTATCTCTATTTTGCTCTAAATCTTTTTTTTATGCCACAGCGTGGAGAACTCCTGTAAGGAATCTGAGAAATTTATATATTTTAAGTATTTTTCTTCCTTTTTGGGCTTTGTACTAAACGTTGGTTGAATTAAGATCATCACGTGGCAGTTGATGCACTCAAAATTAGCATTGTTACACCAGTCCCGGGTGGGTTTTGGGTATAAGTAGAAAAAAAAGGTAAACCAGGCCACATTCATCCTTTATTTTTTCATTGTAGATGGTACTTAAATGGGGCTGGTCATTTTTTCTGTGTCAGTAGCACCTCTGGTTTTTATTTTTATTATTATTATTATTATTATTTACCATTGAAATATAACTAGGGATAGGATAATACCCCTTCTTTGGGTGATTTTGGGAGTACAACTATTTACCCAACATCGTGTATCAGGTGCAATATCAAGCCATCCCATTCTGCTCTTTTCTCTGAATTGAAGCAATACAGACTCAGGATAAGGTCAAAGCCCATCCTGGTCCTTGGGATGGAAAACAAATCCCATGGACCACGTGCCAGCTTTCAGCCTCGTGGGTCTCTGCATGGAAACCACTGTGGAAAAACCCTTTCTACAGCCATGTTTGAAAAAATGGCAATTTGTGGATTGATTTTTTTCCTCCTTTAATAGCTGTGCACATCCTTTTTCTAGCTCTTGTATTTAATTACAAGCTCTGAAATAGTAAAAGTTTGGGAGATAAGGCAGGATGTTGTTCCTGGGAGGCTGTGTCCTCGTTTCTAATAAAGTTTTTATATGAATTAGCCTCTTAGTGCTTTTCCTTGGGATTGTTTTTGTACTTGGAGAGGCCTCTGCCCCTCATGCTGAGCTACAACATAAAGGTGGGATGAATTGGTTGTTCCTGTTGTGATTAATTAATGTTTTAATTGCCAGAGCAGCGCCAACACATAGAGAAGGGACACACCAGAGGCGAGCGCATACCAGGACACAAGGAAATGGGATGAAAAGCAGCAAAATGGGCTCCTAATTGCTGTGGCAAAGTGATTTTGGAGCTGGCAAGTTCCTGGGATTCCTCTCTTAATTTTCTTTCCCCATTTTTAAGTTGTTTTCTACAGGATTTTAAGAAGGGCATGGAGCCACATCCAAGGCCGCTGTTGGGGTAAGTGGCCAAGGACAGTTTGGGCTGAGGGATTTTTACCTTTGCTGAGGGGGTCATGGCTGGGTATGAGGGCAATGACTGGAACATTCATGGATTTGAGCTCCTGGCCATGTCCTGAATCTGTGGGCACTGATCCCAGGCCAAAAATGGGTCAGATATTGGCTTTTCTCTCTTTGTGCCCGCTCTGAAATCAGCAGCATTCCTGTCTGTCCCCAGGGGTTTTGGTGCCCTGTGGTGGAAGAACTGGAGGTCTGTCCTCCAGCCAAAGGCACCAGATCCGGCTGGGAATCAGATTTTGGTTTGTAAAACAGATGCTGCTGAGGGAGGGGGTGGGCTGAGCTGTAATTAAACCTGACCTCCAGGTCTCCCTAACTAGGAATAAGTTGGTGAGACTTTGCTGTCTTTGCTTCTGGGAACATTTCCCGCTCGTTTGGTAATTTGGTTTTTAATTAAATGTTTATTTCTCAGTAGTTTTAAAGGTTTGTGCTGCTTGTTTGTTTATCTGCTGCAGCTTCTGTTCTCTATATTAAATTTCTGTCTCTTAATCTAATTTACTGTGCACAGGATTTTGCTTTTCTCAGACTCTCTCTCTCCTTTTCTGAGCATTAATAATCACACTTTTCTCTTTAAATAAAGCAAACAGGCTCCCACCTCCTTGCACCTTCCTATGAGGAGGATTTTAATTCAGGTAGAGCTTTGTAGCTTGGGAAGAAGTTTGTCTGCAGGTCAGCAAAAATGAGAAATCTATCAGGTTTCCATTATTTGGGCTCCGTTTTATCTGTGACCAATGGTACAATTATCCGTGGTAGCTTTGTACAAGTAGAGTGAAAAAAACTCAGCTCCCTCTGCAGCTGTATCATTTCTTTCCTTTGTCAGGTGTTTCTCCAGGGTGGAATAAATCAGGAGGAGATTCCAGAGCTGACAGCAGGCGCTGGAGGTGAGAGGTGCTGAGCAGGATTCAGCCATCCCCTGGAGCACGGGGAAGGGGTGATGGCTGCAGGAACAGGGAGGAAAACATGAAGTTATGAATTGGTTTGGGTCTGTTCCAGGCTGGCAGCTCCTTTTCCCACCTTTCCATCCCTACACGTGCAGTTATTCTGCAGAATCAAAAGGGAATCTTTCCTCTTTTGAATTCTATTTTGTTAATCCTCAGTTCTGCACTGAATGCCCCAAAGTCCCTTGAGTGACCAACCCAAGGTTTTGGCATCGGAGCTTGTCCCTGCTTTTTCCTCACTTGCTTATTCCAATTTTGTGCTGATGAATCTCATCCCTGACCCCGCTGCTCTCATGTTCTCCCTGTAGAACCCTGTCCAGGGATGTGGAGACAGCCCAACAGTTTAATTCCATCTCATGACACAGAAACCTTCTGATTCCTTGTGAAGTACCACAGTGTTATTTTGTCAATAGTCACTTCTCCTGCTCAGTTTTTGGAATTTGGAGCTGGTTTGGTGTTCCCCTGTGGTCCAGGGAGCAAGACAAGTTAGGAACCTTTGCTGTTCCAAAAATCTCACTTCACGTGTCATCTTCTTTACTAGTTCCAATATTACACCTGCAAAGCCTCGTTCCACCCTTTCCAAATCCCAAGCTGTTGGCTTTTGGCAGCGTGACTCTGGGAAGGAGTTTGGAACATGTTCCCTCTGGTCCCCATCCTCAGTTCAGGGTGTATGTCAGGTTTCTCCTCTTTCCTGTGGGTCTTGTGTGGATTTTGCAGGAATAACCGACTTCCTGGCCAGGCACTGGGGCTGAAATAAACACATTAAGGCTGCCAGTCACCAAGCTGGCTGGTAGCCATGACCCTGGATCTAGCAGGAATAAAGCTTTGGGAATGGCAGCGGGAGCAAGCAGTGCCAGGGACGGCTGCTCTGACGCCTGCAGACGGCATCACACCAGCCTGGCTTCTGCTCCTCTTGGCTCCCAGCCTCCCTCCTGATGGACCAGGGTCACCACGGGCTGTGGACCTTGCTTGGAGCACGGAACATCCTTGGGATGTTCCTTCCCTCGCAGGCAGGAATTTGAAAGAGCCAAAAGAAAGCGTCTCCAATGGATCTATTGTGTGTGGAGATATTTTGGTATTCATAGAATCCCGGAATGGTTTGGGTTGGAAGGGACCTTAAAGATCGTCAAGTTCCAGTCCCTTTCCACGGGTGGGTTTGGGAGGGCGTCAGGCACATCCCTGGATGAGGCTCTTTGCCACTGTAAACCGAGGAAATGAGGAAGGCTGGGATGAAAAGCGCCGTGCCCAAGCGCTGCCCCCACCCTGCACCCCTCGGCTTTTATCGCAGCTGTTTTGCATGTGAATGAGAACTTTCCCACTTCCTTCTGGGGCTTGAATTGGCAAACGGGGAGTTGTTAAAAAAACTCCAGTCTTCAGCCCCGACAAAGGATGGTTGCCATGGAAATAATGGAAGTTGCATCGTGAGCAAAATATGTCCAGGCCCGGCGCCAGGGGAGGGAGGAGGGAACACCTTGTCGGTCAGGAACCTTCTGCCAGGGCCCATGTGCCTCCACGTGGTGTTCCTTGTCCTTGGCACTTTGTGCTTTGGGTTAAAAGGAGAAATCAGAAGTGCCGTCATTGGATGGGAAGGGCTTGGAGAACCTCACCTGCTCTTTCCACAGTGCTGGTGCTGCCAAATTCAGCAGAGCTGCCCCACATTGGGGATCCCAAAGGAACTGAAGCTGGAATCCCATCTCAGGTCACAGGCAGGAGTCTCCTGGCTCAGTTATATCCAACCTCTTCTTCGTGTCCAGGAATCTTCCAGGTGTGTTTTCCACTTGCCTTTACAAACAGACAAGGTGGCTTCCTTTTCTTCTGGGGAAAAAACACCTTTGGATTTTAAACTCTCCAAAAGCCTTTTCTTTGCAGACCCACAATTATAACCTGCATTTTCTGTTGCTTTCAGCAAATCTTAAGGTGATTTTGAGCCAAGAAGCTTGAGGAATGCTTTATACCTCTCCAAAGTGCTAATGGGAGCCACAGAATCCTTGCTGAGCTATGAGAGGGACTAAAATAAATCTCCATCAGGGTTTATCCATGAGCTGCAGAGCTCTTTGGTGAGGCCCAGAATCAGTGAGGAAACTGCACTTTTCAGTGGCTCTGGTGAGTGGTATTTGCTGGTGGGAGCTTGGAATGGGGAACAAAAAGGCACTTTGGGGCCTAAGCACATCCTTCTGCTCTGCTGAAAGCACCAGGGCTTGGGGAGAAGCTCAAAGCAGCCAGCAAAATCCTGTTTATTGCTTTTGGGGAGCATCAGGTGGGGAGGAAAACAGGGATGTGGGAACGAGCAGCAACACACAGGTGCCTGAGGAAACCCCTGTTGACGCTGCCACTGTTTGAAGGAATTTAAGGTGCTAGGGTGAGGAGTAAAGGATAAAGAGCTGTAGGCTGGCTGTAGGCTCAGATCTCCTGCCACCAGCAGAGCAGAATTCAGAAGGTTCAGGCTCATTTCTAACCTGGGAAAGGGCCAAGCAGGGGGAAGGAGCAAAGGCTTGAGATTTAAAATGTGAAAACATATAGTAAATGTGTATAAATATCTGGGTCCCCATGCTACTTTTTCTTCCCACACCTCAATCCCACCTCCTGATCACTGGCAAGTCCAGGTGGATGTTAAGCTGATGAGAGCCCAGCGAGCCTGACCTTTGGGGAGAATCCCAGAATGATTTTGGTGGGAACAGACCTTAAAAATCATCTAGTCCTACCTCCTGCCACAGGCAGGGACGCCTTCCACTACACCAGGTTGCTCCAAGCCCCATCCAGAATCAAGGTGTTCTGTGGGATCGTGGGGGTCAGGAGGCTTTTGGGGCTTTGAAGGAAGCAGCAGCTGGGCATGAGGAGCTGGGGACACTCGGGGTGGCCGTGAAGCCATCTGGTTTGTGGCAGAGCCCTGGCAGCAGGGCGGGGCTGGGGGTCTGTCCTGCTGGGTGCTCACAAAGAGCCCCCTGGAGCCAGGGCTGCAGGACGGCAGCAAATTCCCGGCGCTGACAGGAGGATGCTGCGGGGAGCCGGAGGGTGTGAGCGCCGCCCCGGGCGCTGGGCTCCGCGCCGGGGCTTCCCCGGAGCAGCTCTGCAGGAATCCACCCTCCGCTCGCTGCCTTCGGACAATCCCGTGTAAAAAATCGCTCTAAACAAGCTTTGCAATAGCAAGGGCCAGCCCTGCAGCGTTGCAGCGGATCTTTGAAGGCTGTCAGTGGTAAATGTCCTCCGGGGCGGGATGGGGCAGCTGCCTCGGTGGGGACACTGTCCCACGGCCCCATCCCGGCCTGTCACATCCCTCCCTTCCCTGCTCCAGCCTGGGATGCTCCTGCACACCCCATCCCTGCCACCCCTCTGATGCCAGGGCTCGGCTGTGCCTGTTTGAGCCGTGTTTAACGCAGCCCCAGCCCTGCCCGTGCTCCCAATTCCAAACCTGCCCCGTCGGAGCATTGTCTTTCCGGGGGGCTCTGCCAGTGCTCCCTCCCATCCACACAGGGCCCCGGAGGGCTCGGCAGAATTCCCCGTCCCACAGGGACTGCTGGCAGGAAGCAATCTGGCAGACAACATGTTTAGAGGAGACTGATGTCTCGGAGCCACCGAACCATTTAATTGCCAATAAACACAGCCCACATGTAAATAATTATGGATACCCAGGAACTGTGTCGTCTTCCGTGGAAGGAGGGGGCTGGCAGCCTGGAAACACCCCACGGCAAGGGGAGAAATTAAGATTTCTTGTTAATGCAGGAGGGATGAGCACCGGTAAACCCGCCTGGATATTCCCGGGTGTTGCTTCGGGCTCAGGGTGGCCCAGGAGGTGATGGTTCCTGATGAGCTGAGAAGAACCAGGCTGTGCTTTGGGGTGAGTTTGAGGGTAAATCTTGAAAATTCATCTATTTGCTTCACCAGGTTCTTCTTGCAACCCAGTGGGATTATTGCAATTTTTTTTTTGGCCACATTTTTGGGATAAAGAGCTGCAAGGATCCTAGTTCAGAACTTTGGAGCTTTATCAACATCCCGCACATTCTCAGCAATGCAGACTTTCCCTTCAGAGCCCTTGTAAAATCTGCAGGGACCCTTTGTTCCTCTGCCAGGCCCTACCATCCCATCCCAGCCCCTGCCTTGAGCAAGGACACCTCCCACCATCCCAGCTTGCTCCAAGCCCTGGTTGGAGCTTTATCAACATCCTGCACATTCTCAGACTTTCCCTTCAGAGCCCTTGTAAAATCTGCAGGGACCCTTTGTTCCTCTGCCAGGCCCTACCATCCCATCCCAGCCCCTGCCTTGAGCAAGGACACCTCCCACCATCCCAGCTTGCTCCAAGCCCTGTCCAACCTGGCCTTGGACACTTCCAGGGATGGAGCAGCCCCAGCTTCCCTGGGCGATCCGTGTCAGGGCCTCCCCACCCTCACAGGGAAGAATTTCTTCCCAATCTCCCATGCTGCCCTCTGGCAGTGGGAAGCCATTCCCCCGTGTCACTCCACGTCCAAAATCCCTCTGCAGCTCTCTCGGAGCCCCTTTAGGCACGGGAAGGGGCTCCAAGGTTTCCCTGGAGCCTTAGGCATCCCCACCGCCGTCTTTCACCCCCTGAGGCTGCCCTGGTTCCATTCCTGAGCGGGAGGGTGTCACCATGCGGAGCCCCCCGCTGTCACCGCCAGAGAAGCCGCCGATCCAGTCATTTGGCTTTTCCCAGGGGGGTCGATGGTTCCTATGGCAACCTGGAGGCGCTCGGCAGCGCTTCCCTGCGTGGCAATCAGCGCTCACCTCATCTGTGGAATTAGCGCCCGTCCCCGCACGCCTCATCCCGCTCCTCACAGCCGGGAATGGGCTGGAGACACCCCCTGCGTGCGGGGACCTGGCTGCAGCATCGCCCCAACTTCCCTGCTGCCAGGGGCTGTGGGAGGACTCCATCCATCCCTGCTGCAGCAAATGTTTGTGTCTCCCTCATTGCTCCCAAAATTGGATGTTAACCTGCAGTAAAAATGATGCTTTGAGTGGGAGGGTTTTGGGGTGTCTCCCAGCCCTGCTCCATCTTTGGCATGCTGGAGAGTCCCAGGCAGTGCCACCAAGCCAGGGATGTGTCTGCAGGTTTTTGGGGACTGGCTCAAAGCACCCCCACCCCTCATCATCACCTTGGGGAGCAGTGGTGAACTAAGTCTGGTAAACGGCAGATTTGTGCCCAAGCTGGGGCACGGTGACCGTGGTGTGTGACTAAGGAGATTCTTGGCATCTGCAGCGGGAGCGGGATGACGGATAAAATAGATGAATGAGGAGTAAACTGGGGTTTAGGAAATCTTGGTTAATTTGCTGCAGCGAGAGCTCACTACGCTCACAGAAATTAAAGTGTGAGCGCTCGCAGCGACGGAGGAGGAGGAGGAGGCACCGAGGGAATACGGGATGAGTCGGAAGTGGGTACATCCATAAATCACCTGTGGTGCTTTCAATAATTCAACAGTGCTGGGAGATCCAGCAGTTCACAGAGAGGTGATGTCCACGGGAAGGTGCTCGGTCTGCCTGATCCAGTGGGATCCAGCCCCCAGTGTCCATGGCCGGGTTGGATGGGGTTTGGAGCAACCTGGGCTGCTGGAAGGTGTCCTTGCCCACGGCAGGGGGTGGACCTGGGTGGGATTTAAGGTCCCTTCCGTCCCAAACCAGGACCAATTCCACGTCATTACTGTGAGCCTGAGCTGTATCAACTGTGCTTTTAGCCAAAAGAAGTGAAATTAAGCCTGATTTACTCATGTACGTGTCACAAACCTGCCTCTTTAACCAGAGCCAAGATCCGGGAAGAGAGTTGGCCACGGTTTGTACAGGCCATGGAACCTGCTCAGAGAAATGCAAAAGATATTTTGCAAGCCCTGTCAAAGAAATCAGAAGCAGTGGCTTGAGTCAGAATGTTATTCACAATAAACCAGGAAATAATGATAGTGATGATGATGATGATAATAATAATAATAATATAAAATGACTCAGCAATTTTTAAGCTTTTTCCAGATCCACAAATAAAATTTGCCCAATGATCCTGGCTCAGTGGAAGAGCTTCTCTGTTCTGGATTTTTGTCACCACTGGTGACATCCAGACAGAACAAACACAGCAAGAAGGGGACTAAAAGTCAGTGGAAAATTACCAGGCTAATTTTGTTTGCTGTGCCTGATTTGGAGACAGAGGAGGAAATTTCTAGGAGTACACATGAAAACAGTGTTGATCCTTTGAGTGCATTTAGAGCTGATCCTCATCTCAATTCATTTCTGCAGTGCAGGACAAAGGGTCTCATCATCTGCAGCCATGGGAGAAACCTGGATGGGGACCAAATAATGGGAATAATACCTTGCTTGCAGGTAAACTCTTTGAAATAATAATCTCTTGAGTGCTTTTGAGAGAACATCACTGGAATAAATTATATTATCTGCCCCAATTATATTATCTGCCCCTTAAAGCTGTAAACACCTGAACAGGCTGACCAATATTTTCCCTTCCTGGGCTGTGTCCTGGCAGATGGGAGGGCTGCAGGCACCAAATCCTGGTAGAGAAGAGGGTCACAGAGTGGAATTGTTTAGGTGGGAAAAGATCTTTAAGATAATCGGGTCCAACTGTTATCAACCCTATTTCAGCCAACAAGAGAGTGTGGAGGAAGAAACAGCCTCAGGGAGAATATTGTGCAAAGCTCTTAATAATTGAGGATGATTTAACAAAAATATCCTCTTTATACCTCCTGGTTCCTGGGAGAAAAGCTTCGAGCAGTTTCCTGAGGAAAGCTCTGCAGAATCAGCCTTCAAACATGTTTTCCTCCCTCATTTATCTGATTAATTTACTTTCATTAACAAAACCAACCGTGTTCTCCTTTATGTATCCAGTTTCTGTGAATCACAGACTGCAGCTCCAGGATTTCTGTGTTTATTCTCAGAAGTCACTCAGCTTTTAGCTCACTCTCCCAAAATAGTTTTCCTTTTTCCTGCAGGTAATTTGGGGAATCGGCAAAACATCTAAACAGGGGGACCTGAGAGTGGGGATTTTCTCTCCCAGTGCTCAATAACTGCAAATTCTAGTCTAGTCTGGAAACATGGAAGAGGAAACCTCTTCTTCTTTGAGGATCAGTTCTCCAGGATGGATATATGGATTTTAAATGGTCCTGCAGATAAATGCAGGGATGGGAATGAGAGGGTGATGGAGTTACGGGGAGAAAAAAGGCTTTTAATTAAGAGTGAAGTAATTGAGATTGTGATGGGACGAAATGAAGAGAGAAGGAATCAACACCAGCAGTGACAGAACAAGGGGAAATTACTGCAGTCAGATAGAGGGCAGAGTTAAATGAGATACTGGGAAGAAATTCTTGGCTGTGAGGATGGTGAGACCCTGGCACAGGTTGTCCAGAGAAGCTGTGGCTGCTCCATGTCTGGAAGTGTCCAAGGCCAGGTTGTATGGGGCTTGGAGCAACCTGGTCCAGCACTAATGCCAGCCTGACCCAAGGATCTGCCACTGCCCAGGACTGGGACAGAGCTCATCAATCCAAGCTGGCATCTTCCTAGGACATGGCTGAGCTGCAGTCAAGGGTTTCTGGGTTTTGTGGGATTCACATCAACACACACACACAGCCCAAGCTCTTGAAGCCTTTATTACAGGAAGGACAAACAGGGACCTTCTGCCTTGCTTGGCTCCTCTGGGGTGAGCAGCCCAGGGGAGCTGCAGGAAGCTGAGGAGGGAGCTGCTCTGTGGGAACACGACAGAGGTCACTGGCACTGCCTTGGATGGGTCCCTGTCTGGTGGTCACCCCACAGAAGATGACGAGTCCTTCAAGGGCCACCATGAGGGCCTCAGCTGGAAGGTGAGTGAGCTTGTGGGTGGGCATAAGGGGCGTGGGTTAGGGATCCTGTGGGGCTCCAGCCAGCTGTGTCTGCACTGGATGCTCCCCAGCTGCTGGCAGAAGCAGGGATGCTGGCCAGTGCCATGGGCAGGTTCTGTGCAGGGCATTGAAGTCCTGTCCTCGGGCACGAGGAGTGGTGGGAGGTCACGGCTTGGCCCCACAGAGCAGGGCAGCTGGGGGCTGGCACAGCCCTGAGCTGTGGTGCCTGTGGGCTGTTCCCAAGGGTTTCTCCTGGGAAATCAAGAGGTTAAAACCTAGATGGGGATGGGCTGTAAGGAGATGCTGCCTTCTGCATGTGCTGCTTGCACAGAGCAGCCTGAGAGGCCACAGAGGCACTTCAGACACTGAGGAGCACTGACAAGCAAACCCACCCTTCATCTGGCAGCTTCTGGGGCAGAACAGCCTGGCACTGGGATTCCCATCTCCACTGCAGGACCCTGAACGTGGACATACACCAAGCTAAACTTCCCTGGGAGCAGAACTTGAGACATCATTTCCAGCAAACTCATCACATGAGATCTTTTGAGTCCTACTTGGCCATGAAGAGCAGTGATGACTTCATGGATGTGCCCAGCTGCACCTGCACCTGTGGCTGGAGAAACTGGGATGCCCTGTCTGGTTATGGGAGTGGCTCCTCCAGCAGGCCAAGCAGGTTATGAAAGTCACACCCATTCCAAAGCAGCCACGTGCCCCAGCCTGCACCTGCAGAATGCTCATTGTCCTACATTGTCCCTACACCAGTAAGCCATAATTTTAAAGGATAAATGCACAGCAATTTCATGGCTCCCTGTGCAAGTCGACCTCTTCCCGTGGCACAAAGTGCTGCCTGTTGCTTAGGAACAATCTGTATCCTACAAAATGAAGACGTGCGCTCTCCAAAGAGTTTTTTACACAATGGGTGCTTGCCTTGCTCAGGCACTGACCCACCTCCTGCACAAACCACGGGGTGAAGTCTTTGTGCTCCAAATGTAGCACTGGACACCTACTGCACCCAGCCATGATTCGGGATACAGGGATATGGCCTAGCCGTGGTTTGGGATGTAGGGTTGTGCAAACCCCATCCCTCAAGGTCCTCCAGCTAAGGTAACCTGGACTGCAAAGCTATCTTGTCCGAGGCCCCGGTAGGAGCATCTGCCAGGGTGGAGCAGGTGTTGAAGCGGGAAGCCTTGCAGGACATGCTCCTGGAGCTCTGCTTCTTGCGGTAGAAGTAGCTGCTGAGGTGGAACCAGAACTTGTCGTGGAGGGAGGCGTAGATGAAGGGGTTGTAGCAGGCAGAGCTCATGGCGATCAGGTGGCACGAGACCTGGATGACGTTGACGTACCTCTTGTCCAGGATGGTGAACTCCTCGTCGATGTCCCGGATGAAGTTGACCACCTGCAGAGGCAGCCAGCAGACGGCGAAGCAGACCACGGAGATGGTGAGCACCCGGAAGGTCTTGTGCTTGGTCCTGGCCCACTTGTCCTGGCAGTGGTAGGCAGCGCCCGGCACGTTCCTCCTGCGCAGGTGGTAGGTGATGGCACAGAAGGAGATGGACACGGCCAGCAGCGGGAGCATGTAGGAGAGCAGCAGCATCAGGCACGAGTAGAGCAGCCGCTCCCTCTCCTCGTGCTTCCAGAATTCCTCGCAGATGATCATGTCGTGGCCGATGGCGTTGAGGTCCAGGTAGTGGGTGTGCAGCGAGGTGGGCACGGAGGCCGCGATGGAGAGCAGCCAAATGCAGGCCACGAGGCCGACGCAGGCCCTGCGGCTGATCCGCCTGCGGATGGGGTACGCCACCACCACGTAGCGGTCGATGGCGATGGCCGTGAGGGACAGCACCGACACGAAGACGGTGGCAGCCTGCAGCAGGGTGACGAAGTGGCACATGAACATGCCGAAGAGCCAGCCACGCTCCTCGAAGGCGTAGGACACGGTGAGGGGGACGCAGGCCAGGCACATGATGAAGTCGGCCACCGCCAGGTTCCCGATCAGGAAGTTAGTGGTGCAGTGCAGCTTCTTGGTGAGGGCGATGAGGAGGACGAGGAAGAGGTTCCCGATGCACGCCACCACCACCAGCGTGGCGTAGAGCGGGATGAAGAGCGGCTTCAGCTCCAGGAGCAGGTCCAGGCCGGTGAAGATCAGGGCCGAGTCGTTGTGCCAGGAGTCATTGGGCAGCTGAGCCATGGGAACCCCTGTGGCCAATGCAGCTTCTCCACAACTCAAAATCAAACACAGATGAGCCTGTGAGCTCTGGGGGGGACATAAACACATTTTGGTTGAACTTCTGGCCAGAAGGACGAGTCCTGAGTCTGGACCTTTTGCACGGCCCTGTGCTGAGGCAGTGGCTGGTTTAAATGACTTAAGAGTGAGGATGCCCTGTGACAGACACAGAGGAGCTCTGGTATGGAGGAGAGTTGGGAAGCTGGCTGTGACATAGTGAAGCAGCCAGCACAGATCTGTGGGGAGCAGGACCCAGAAACCAGCCTGAGAAACCTCATGGAGAGTTTCCACCTGGGAGCTGCACCGACTTAAGGCAGAAGAAAACCCCCACACTCCTGCATTTCTTGCTTTTTATTTTTCCCAGTTAATGCCACCCTGACCCACCAGCCCCATGCCTCCTGGCTGGGCAGGGAAAGGAGCATACTTTCCATCCCCTGCACTCCTGTGTCTCTCCCAGCCACCCCAACCCATCCCACTGGGTTCTTTTATCCCCTTGGTTATATCTTCATCACCCACGGAGCTTTGGTTTCTCCTGTCTTTCCCTGTGACAGCTGTGATGGGAGGGAGGGAAGGAGGGAGTGCCTGGCTCCCTGGGCACCTCCACAAACCCAGTCAGAGTTGCACAGGGGAATGAGATAAAATGTATTTCAGCAGAAAGTGTATGGAAATTAAGAGTTCCCCTCCAGCACCCTTCTTTCAAGCCCCACACTCTCAAAATTATTGTTTGATCCCCTTTACCGGGATCTGGACAGTCTTTTCCCCCCGTGGAGAGTCAAATCAGCATTAATTAAGAAACCCTTGTAATTAACCGAGGGATATTGAGGTTTTCTACATTCCAGCTGCACTCACAGGGCGCACGCTGTGATACCACAGCTCCAGGTCCCCATGCCCTGCCTGGGGCAGGAGCACAAAATCCATCAGGAAACTTGCAGCTGAGGAGCCAAAATGCTCATTAACTTACAGAATGAAAATTCTGAAGCTCAATTAAATTATTGAATTCTGCTTCGTGTACCCACAAGAGTCAAACCAGCCCTTCTGTGCATCGCCAGGGTCCTGCTCCCTTCCCGATAAACGCTGAACCCCGCGGCTCTGGCTGGGGTTTGGGGGCTCCAGGGTGTGGCTGCGGGACCCCCTGTCCCGGTCCGGGGCGCTCTTACCTGCCGAGGGGTCCGGGCTGCTCAGGGCCGGGAGCCGCCCGCTGCCCGCCGGCGTTCCCGTGAGGATGAGGAGGAGCGTTCCCTTCGCAGGGTGTTCACCGAAGACTCCGGCACAGCCGATCTCAGCCGAGGTTTTGTGGTGTGGGGTTTTTGTTGTCTTGCTTTGTCTTTTTTTTTTTTTTTTTTTTTTTTTTTTTTTTTTTTTTTCCCCCCCCCCCTCGGTTTTTTTTTCCCCGTTTTTTTTTTTTTTTTTTTTTTTTTTTTTTTTTTTTTTTCCTTTTCCCCCCGCTGCCTGAGCTTTTCAGTCCCGGAGGAACAGGACGTTCCCACCCACGGCGCTCGGTGTTCCCGGTCCCCGGGGGGACGCGCACATCCCACCGCCCCGCTCCGCAGGCGGAGCCGCATCCCGCCCCCCGGCCCGGCGGGGAGCACCGGGGGGCTGCGGGGAGCCCCTCCCTCGCCCTCGGGCCGGCTCCAGGGACATTCTCCCGGCAGGGAAGGAGGGGAAGGCGCGGAGAGGACGGGGCGGGCGGGCGCTGGGACCGCGCGGAGCTCCCGGAGGCGGCAGCGCCCGCCCCGTCGGGGGGTTCCGGCCCGGGGGCGAGGGGGGAAAGTGGGGTGAGGGCAGAGTGGGGTGAGGGCAGAGTGGGGTGAGGGGCACCCAGCCCCGGGGTGCTGGTGGCTCAGCTGGGGGCGCAAGTGTAGGATGGAGTGAGGGCGGTCCAGCCATCGTGAATTGCCCCAAATGAGAAAGGATACCAGGGTCAGTCTTACTTAAATAAGGGGAAATGGTAGATAATGATCATCCAGTGGAATTTTGTGGGCATAAGAGGAATGGAAATTTGCAGAGCAGTCACAGAAAATTGGGGGTTTTGGTGCAAGACAGTGATTAATTCATCCCAATCTGATGGAGCTGGGCTGGTTATTAAAGCTGGCTGAGCCGATCAAGAGGAGACTGCTCACCCCTGCCAAATAATCAGCAGGAAGAAAATCATCTTTGTCTCCATATCAGTGCCTGACGAGAGCTGCTGTTAATTTTAAAGAGCAGAACAATCAGATTAGGAGAGCCAGCGGCTGGTTTGGGAGGAGAGCTGGGCTTTGGAGCGGCAGCAGGATGATGAGTGCGCCCCAAGGCGGGCACAGGCTCCATCCCCGCCTGGATGTGCCATGGCCAGGGTGACCCGGCTGCACCGCTGGGGGCTCTTCCCTCTGCACAGGCTCATCCTGGAAAAACCTTTGACATCATCTCTGCTGCTTCCAGAGCCTGCAGAATAAATCACCCTTATTCCCAGAGCTTGTATTGCCCTGCCCCAGCTCCCGGCTCAGGGGTACAAGGATGGGTTTGGAGGCTGCAGCCCACCCTGATGGTCGAGCATCCTGGTGTCCCTCCCATCCCGTACAGATGATGGACAGGAATCAGTTTGCTGTGATTTTTATTCTTTTCCATGTCACCAGAGTGGTTTTTAGAAATAACCAGAGATCCCTGAGACCCTGTCAGTTCCAAAGGAGGATGGAATATTTCAATGGCTATAAGCTGAAGGAGGGAAGGTTTGGAGTGGATGTAGGGAAAAAATCCTTCCCTGTGAAGGTGCTGAGGCCCTGGCACAGGGTGCCCCGCGAAGCTGTGGCTGCCTCATCCCTGCAGTGTCCAAAGCCAGCCTGGGCTAGTGGAAGTTGTCCCCTGGAACTGGATGAGCTTTGAGGTGCCTTGCAACCCCAAACTATCCTGGAATTCTGTGATTCTCAGCAGCACCGCAAGGTGCTGCCAGCTCATGCTTCTGTGGGATCAATTCCTTTGGCCCAAGCTTGTGGAGAAGAACATTTTTTCCTGTTTGGATGGGTGGGAGCCTTTCCTTGCTGCCCAAAGTGCTCTGTCAGCCCTGCCCTCCCATGGCTCTGACAAGGCAGCAGGTGAGTTGTGTTAGATACTTTATTCTGCCCCATTTTGAAAGCAAACCCCTGCCAGGCTGGGGCTCCCTCACCACACGGGCTCTGCACTGGCTTCCAGGGGTACAGAAATGCAGAGATGTTTCATGCAGAGAAAAAGGTAAAATATTGTCTTTAAAAGCTACAAAGGGGAGGGGGGCTTCTGTTTCCTTTGTGATTTACTCATTTTTCCTGCCTGAAAGTCATTCCCTCTAT